TGCACCTCCTTGCACATTCCAGCAAAAGAATGTGATGGAGTGCAGATCCCATGGCTTCAGCACCCCCTTTTTCTCTACTCCCCCACTTTTTGTTTTGCTTACCACCTAGACTGCTGAAGATCTCTGGTGAACTCAAAAGCTTTCAACCTCTTTTGTGATCTTTGGGTTGGCCTAAAAGTAATTGTACTGGCATTAGTATTGGCATATATGAAAAATGCAACTCTTGGTGTACAAACAAAAAATAGGAAGATAACTGGGTTATTGCTTCCACCAAGAAATTCTAATTTCCCCAACTATGAAAACTCGTCAGTATATTAGTATCACCTCTTCCAATGGTGACTAAATAATCTAAGGTTGCTTTGGTGGTGTTGCATATTTTAAGTGCTGGCCCTCATCATGCCAGTCTCCATAGCCAGGCCCCTGGGGAGATATAAAAAAATATGAGCAGCTGTCTTTATCCCTATTAACCCATTGCAACAGTTTTTGTCTTTACAAGGAACAATTCTTTTCTGAAGCTGTTAGGTCTAAATTGTCTATTCAGCACCAAGCTACAGAAAATACTTTGTGTTACACCAAGAACAGCTCACAGGAGATAGCCACCACCCTCACCCAAGCTACCGGAGGATTGCAAATAACCTCAGAAGGATCCGGGAACTTTGAGATGGTGTAGTCACCGTCCTTCCCAATTGAAATGTCCCGGCTACTGCATCCTTGGAAGCCCTGGATTTACTGCACCATTGTTTCTTACACATTAATTTCTTTCCCACTGAAGAAGTAGAAAACACATTGACTTACCATCTCAAGTAATATTTTTACCACAGAGCAGAGAGCTTGCACAAAGGCCTTAGCTTCCAATCGTTAACCAGGGACAATTCCATCTGGATTCCTCTTAATGAAAATACGGACTCACCATATCATAGTCGTTCTGCTCTAAACATCAAGGCAGGCACCCAAGTGGTTTAAAAGAGACTTTTGGAATGGGGGGAACCTGCAGAAAAGCCAAGTGATTCATACTTGGAGAAGGGCATGGCTTTTGGGTGACCCCAGAGGGACGGATTGGGAGATCAGGAGGCACAGAGTGGCTAGGCCTTTCGTCTCAAATAAACAAGTGGTGTTGGAAAGGATGGGGCTCCCATTGTGTCCAATTCAAAATGGAAACTGATTTTTTTTAATTTTTTGCGCACATGTGCTTCAAAAAACTGTCAAAGCACACTAGTCTGACGCTAACTCTTCTCTATGCGGTGCTTCTCTATAGCAAATGGGTCTACTCCACACATTGGTCTGAAGCAGTCATTCCTTTAGTTCTCATTGCAACTGATTTAGTTTTGATTGCAACTGTTGTAGTCAAGAATTGAAGAAAAATTATGAAAAGTTAAAGGAGGATATAAAAGATAAAATAGGAAAATATGAAAAGGTAAAATTATTATGGTTTGGAAGAATAGTAATAACAAAAATGAAAATTCTGCCAAAGATTACTTTTTTGTTTTGGATGATTCCAGCCAAATTTTATGATCAAGAATTAAAGGAATTGCACAAGTTATTGGAGGTTTATTGTAATGGAGGGAAGAGAACAAGAATAAGTAAAGTATTATGGTATGAAGCACAAAAAAAGGAGGGCTGGGCATTCCAGACATTAAAAAGTATTGGGTTGCTAAAGTATTTGGGATCCTAAAATCTATCCTCTGTCTATATGCCTGTCTATAATCACATTTTATTTCCATTGTTATCATTGCATGGTCTGATATTTTAATTACTTTTATATCTGCATTAACTATCTTAGACAATATTTCTGGTGTTAGAAATATATATTCTTGTAAAATTCTATGTCTACTTGAATAAAATGTATAACTTTTCGGGTTCCCATTTAACTCTCCATACATCTTTAAATCTGATTTTATTAATAAATCTACTTAAATCTGTATTATTATATTTTATATCTAACTTTGATGGGTTAGATTTATCTTTTTCTTTATCCATAACCATATTATAATCACCTGCCATTATCATATATCCTCTTTTTATTTCTACTATTTCTTTATACACCTTATCATAAAACTCTATTTGATTTATATTAGGTGCATATATATTAGCTAAAGTCACTTTTTGTCCATAAATCAGACCTTGTATTATAAGAAATCTTCCCAAATGATCTCTCTTTATAGCTATTATTTTAAATTCACATCTTTTGGCAACAATAATTGCAACACCTCTTGATTTTGATGTGACATATCGTATTTTTCATATACATCTGCCAAGTATAATTTTAATTCATTTCCTCTATCTTTCTTTTGATGTGTTTCTTGTAAAAAATATAATATCTGCTTTTTCCTTATAAATAGATTTTTCAATTCTAGCTCGTTTATGTCTTTCTCCAAAGCTGTTTAAATTTCAAGACACTATCTTCAATGTTTTTCCCATTCTTTCAATACATCAAATGTTCTTTTTGGTCTCCATATGTGATTAAATGAACACTCCAACAAAAACTTAACAAAAAACCAATTAAACTTACCCCTACCCCACCATATTCCCTACCACATTTATGTATGGAAACCCCCTTACCCATCTTCTAGAGAATTTCTCCTCCCCACTGACTCGAGCTTCCAAGGTGGGGGGAAGGGGAGCCTCCCCTGTACAGATACCTGCTCCACCCTCCCCGACCATCTATACCCTTTTATACTATACTCAAATTTCTCTTATGTTTATTATTTGAAACAATTTCTTTTTTTATAATAAGTTTTATTCAAAATAACCCTAAAACAAAAGAAAACTAAAAACAACATCAATCATCAGGAACATCGGACCTGCTGGGTCAGCCCCCACATTTTTTTCCATTTATGATAACTTAAAAACATATTTAAATCTATATGAAGTTCCGTTTCTTTAGCCAATAATAAAAAGGGTCCCAAGTTTGATAGAAATCAGTATCCTCTTTCTCCTTCAATGACAAAGTCAGTCTATCCATTTCTGCACAGTCCAAGATTTTTTTTAGGATCAGTTCATCAGTGGGTGGTTCTTCACTTTTCCAGTGTTGAGCAAATGCAATCCTCGGCGCAGTAATTACATGTAAAATCAAGTACATTTCTTGTTTACTAATATCAACAGGTGTAATGCCTAATAAGAAAACTTCAGGTTTAAAAGCTAAGGATTTTTGTAACATTTCCTCAAGCCATTTATGTATTTTAATCCAATACTTTTTCGCATTATCACAAGTCC